CAATACTCGACTCGAAAAGCTCGCGAGATACTCGATTATTTTATATATAATTAGTTTTAAAATATAATCAATTTTTATGATAAAGTTTGTAAAATATAAGTAATAAAAATGTCTTATACTTTTAGATATTTATACAAAATTATGCATTTTTTAATTATAAAATTTAATCAATTATTTTTTTAAATCACAATTAAAAAAAAAAGACAAAGAAAAACTATAAAAAAAATTTGTGAAATTATCGTACATTGGAAATGGTAAAGGAGGGGATAAAAAAATGTTATAAAAAGAGAGGGAGGTAAATAAAATTTTTAACTTTGTTTTTTTAATGATAAAGTTTGAAGTTGATCATTTAGTTTTATAAAAACTAAGAGAACACCTTTAAGTTAAAATTTATAAGAGAAAAATTCTAAATTTTCATAAATTTCAACGGGTGAGCTTGGTTCGAGTTTATTTCGGGCTCGAGTTTCATTTGACTTAGTTCGAGCTTGATAAATAGTTATTTAGTTCTAGTCGAGCTTTGATTTTTATTACTTGCGAGTTTTCGAGTCGAGTTTTGATTTTTACTACTTCATGAACCCGAGTTCGAGCCCTGGGAGGGTAGTGTTGGCAACATTTAAGTGGGGCCATGTTTAGCCTCCAAATTTGCCAGGATTAGTCGGGCTTTGGTCCGGACACCCTTACAAAAAAAAATTTGAGTTGTGTTCGAGCTTGAAAATTGGGCTTCGAGTATACTGATAGTCAAACTCGACTCACATAGTCTACACCCCTATAATTTTTTCAATTAAAACACATGGACCAATAATATAATTTACTCTATTTTTTATTTAAATCTAGGGACCAAGAACTGTAGCCACGGCCACCGCCGCTAAACTCTACCTTTGCTCTCCACGGCCACCGCCTTCTCCCCCTTCCCTACCGGAGAAACGTCATTTCAGCCTCCAGGTACAAGATGCGGGAGAAGCAGATCCAGATCTGTGATCTCCTCAAACGACGACGCTTGGTCTTCCCGACCATCGCCTCTTCCTCTTCCTCTTCCTCTTCAGTCCGGCTCCGGCCCCATTTTGGCCATCTTTATGTATAACCATGCTCGTATTTGGAATGAACGATCGAGCATAAACTTCGAGTTTATAAATGGATCAAACGCCCAGAGTTTTACAGGCAAACAAATTACATTTGTTTGAGTCCATTCAAGTTTTTATATAACTACCAAATTCTGAATTTATGTCACAAGTTAGAGGCATTATTTATTCACAATTTTGATCTTCATCAACCTCTGCTTGAATTCTGTTTGATCTGTTAACTTCTCTACCATCCCTCTTTCTCTTCAACTTCCTCTTTGATATCTCTTCTTTCTCATCCGCAAACGATAAAAACCTCTGCAATCGCACCGATCGAGACCCCTTTTCCGGTGACGGATCGTGTTTTCCAAACTCCCGAAGCATCATACAGAAGTGTATACCGAGAGCAAGAGCGCAAGCTACTCCGAAGATGAGAAATAGTCCCCAAAAGCTTTCTAGTTGAAGTTGGTCCGAATCCGAGTTCCGCAAGGAGCAAGTTTTTCTCTTCAGCCAATGGTCGTGAATCTTTTGAAGCACGCCGTTCTCCGATAACGTTAGGATCGCAGTTGATATGTCAACTGCCAACGGGGAGTCCCTTGGAAATGCCTGACAAAACCATCACATAATACATATCATTTATATTTACATCAACAGGTTTGTTTGGCAGTTGCTGAATGATTTGGTGCAAAATATTTAAGTTGTCAAAATGATTAAGAGTCTTTCATGATATAATACAAAATGAAATATAATTGTTTGCTAATTGTTTACAATGAAATCAGAGCGCTTAATGGTTAAGGGGGGCTTAGGATACAAAATTATTCAGAGGGTTTTAGAACCAATAAGAGGCAGACATTTTGTTTTGTCAAACAAGATTCACCTCTTAATGATTCAGATGTTGCCTCTTGATGAAACTATTAAGAGGTAAACAAACAACCTTTAAGTCTACAGGAACAATTACATTATAAAATGTTACAATAAGTTGATATGACATTTTTTTGACACTTTAACAAGTTTTTTTAATATACTTTTGAAATAAAGTGTTATATAAACTCTTTTCGTAGAACATTTGTTTCTATAGGACACCAAAAAGACTAATGAAAAGTCTTATTTTCAAAAGTTGTACTAAAAGAACTTATTAAGACGTCCAAAAGCATCTTATCGATTTATTGTAACACATTTATATAGGATGTACGATTGTTTGGTCATGTAAACTTAATTAAAGTCTTAAAAAACATTCTATTTACATATATTTGAGATTCTATAAAGCCGATTTTACTGTAAAAAGTACGGAGATACTTACGAAGCCCCACCCGCTTTTCGTGAACTCTTGGCCGACGACTTGAAACCGGCAGTAGTTTGAAAGGAAGAGGTCGACGTACGGCCTTTCATCAACAATGGCAGCAACTATTCCTCCTCCAAGTTTCTCAGCATATTCTTCAGGGGAGCCAAGGGCAACAAGTCTTGATTTTGGTATGTTGAGTTCTTCCATCAAATAATTCTCGGAAAACGATCCTATCTGAAACCCGATGCGTTCGTTGCTAGCAATCAATGAATCGATCCCTCTGATGGGAGATGAAAGTTGTTGCACGGTTAAGATCGATGTGAGGTTAGCCGTGTAGCTTGAGTTGATGATCAGAACCACGAAAAGCCAGATGAAAAGAACCATCCGACCAAGGGTGCTCACCGTTTTTTCTCCTGAAAGTTTTCGACTTCATCATCAATTTCGCTCTCGTCACCCGTTACTATTCGAATAGATAATCAGAGGTTTGATACTTACTGTGCGAGAAAAACATAGTTGACAACGTAAACCTGCAAAACGAAGAACAAATCTTACAAAAGAACCGATGAGTTAAGCAATGTCCCTGAGAATATATCTGGTACATCATTAGATTACTCTCCAAAAAAACCCTTAAAAGAGAGAAGGGGGGTTTTAACATACAACAGAGAGAAATGGTCCAAGTTTAGCTGATGTATGACTTCACACTCCACTCTTAGCAGAGGATAAACAGGCTGCCAGACGTCTATAGGGGTGCAGACACAGATTGTCCCAGACTGACGTCTATTAGGGTGCAGACGCCGATTGTCCCAGATTGTCTGGTTTCTAAATGTCTATATAGGCCAGAATGACATAGATTGTCCCCAGATTGTCTGGTTTCTAAACATCTATAGGGGGCTGAATGTCATAGATTGTCTCATATTGTCTGGTTTCTAAAGGTCTATAGGGGGCAGACTGACATAGATCGTCCCAGGTTGTCTAGTTTCTGAAGTGGAAGACCATGGTCCTGATATAACGTGAGAATGTGTATAATCTCCAAAAAAGGCCATCTAGGAGCGAACAGGTTTACATACAGAGGAAAAATTGTCCAAGTCTAGCAGATATGAGATTGCTCACCAAAAGATGGTGACCAACTGTTTCTTTGGCGGCCCCCTAAATTCGTCGTTCAGCCTGTGTTCCAGTATCCAGATGACAACTCCAATGACGAGAAAGGAAACTCCGATGACCGCCCACATGAGCGGAGTAAAAGGCCGCAAGAAAGCCCAAGCACTTGAGTTTAGCTTCTTTATGGGCACAACTACAACCAGACCCGACTCGATATACGGCTGTGTGAAGTCCGCGGCCTTTGTACGGTTAGTGATAATTGCAACATCACCAACAACAGCATCGAACACCTAAATAAAAACGGCAATTTTACCACCCATAAAGATTAGATCGTGAAAATATCTGGACCCCGTTAGATTACTTTCCAAAATAACAGTAGTTTACTCACGTCATATGACACTTCATTCACAAGCTCGGTGTAGCTCGGATTCTGACGACCATT